CTCAAAATGTCGCTGAAATATTATTCTACCTATATGTAAAATACAAAAATTAATAATAAAAAAATAATAGTAATTGAATCTATAACTAATTCAATGCATGGCTGCAAGCGTACTCATGATCCTCAAGCTCCAAGTTCATAAAGGTACTTGTTTTACCACCTTGATTGTACGATTTTACGTTACCATGACCAATAACTTCTCCTATGACATCTGCCACATTTAAATAAAAAGTTATAAATAAGGTGATAAAACATTCAACAAAAAATAGCGAAAGGTAAAACAATTATCGAATAGTTCATTCTCATCAAAGTCAAGTTGATTTGTGAGATGCTCATAAGGCTTAAAGTTGAAGATATTCAAACTAAACTGTGGATCACTAATTTCATCCACACTCATCCTATGAGAAAATGTCAGTTTCAATTTATGCTTGTTGGCCTTAATTTTCAGATTGTTTGGTCCGACCACAAAGTTTTTCATAATAGACAATCCCATTTCATGTATTTTATTTTTAAAATACGCATAACGACTCTTCCAATAGTTGCATGAATTCGATCTCCCCAAAATAAAAATTTTGAAAAGAAATTTAAGTTAGTAAGACGCATAAGTTGAAGAAAATACATCACAACTCGAAAAAATAACAACATGTAAAAGAGTATGCACCTTTTCATCTTGAATAATTAATTCAATTGAATTAGAATTTTCTGGTTTCTCGCGGTTTGGAACGTGCCATAATCTAACAACATGAACCTTCAAATTCCAACTCATTTTGGACATTAATATTTAGTTGATATAGTTATAATGTGGAGCCATACTTTGCAGAAGTTTGTGTGGAAGCTAAACCCTAAGCAATGTAGAGAAGTCAAACCTAAGCAAAAATTGTTTAAATAAAGGTTTCTAAGAAAAGTCAATCGTAGTAAATCAATTTTTAAGTATGTGAAATCCTTATATTTAAAAGGTATGTGTAAATCACTTTGTATGAGTGAGTGCGCAAGAAATGATACGGATCTTCATTTTTTAGCTTTTGTTTTTTTTTTCAACGTTTGTTTTTCGTGGTTAATTATAATTTGGTAACCACCAACCTTAATTTTTCTTGTCTTTTTCCTTTGCCCTCTTGTTCATTTTTCATTTTGACATGTGTCATGATCCCATTGGCTCTTCTGTTTGACTTGGCATGCCACGTCATTTGACACGTGGCACCAAACTGGGCATCTAGGAAGATGACATATTGGGCTTAATAAAGTGGGCTCATAACTTTAGCCCAATTAAATGGGCCAGCCCAATGAATAAAGACTTATTTATTTAATCCATATATATTGGGCTTATATAATTAATTCAATTATATTAGTCCACAGTATTTATTTGGACTAATATATCTGGAATTTAAAATATAATCTAAATTATTTTATGGATTTAATTTTAATAAAATTTATATGCCTACACACATAATCTGTTTTAAGAAATTAAAGTCGACAAGTTTCAACTATTAGAAGAAATGAAGTAAGACTATTACTATGATTTGTAATCAAAGGAAAAAAAAATAACTCATCTCAATCTTCCATTATTGCCTCTTTTAGAATAAAATTAATTAAATTTGATGCAAATATTGGATGCCGTTAATAAAAGATCGTAATAGCTGCGATTGTGGGAGTAAATATTCAAATATTATTTATGACGAGAAATAGCTCGTCGATATGATTCATGCCATTTATTGTTTTAGTTCTAACTAATATCATGGAAGTGTAATTTTTAGTTTTCCTCGAGAAAACATATAATGAGATTCGATCTCATAGAGTTCAATTCACGACCCATGATCAATATGAGCTCGAAGCTTTCTTCGTAACTCCCGGAACTTCTTCGTAGTAGCTCCCTTACATGCCCCATTTCAGAGGGAGCCTCAAAGTGGCTCTATTTCATTATATTCCATCCATATCCTAATTCCATTCATTTAATATCCCTTTAGTGTCATTGACACAACAGATGCCGTTTCTAATCTATCTCTTTCTATTTCTTTTCTCTATATAGAAAGTTCAAAAATCATTAAAAAAAAACACACTATTATATTTTGAATTAAGTTATCAAACCACAAAAAACTGTTCAAACACCTAGAAAGTTTGTGGATTTTTGTTCAAAAATTCAATTACACATGAATTTTATTTTCCAAAAAACAAATGGTTGGGCTAGACTTGGCTTTTTTTTATTTTTATTTGAAACAACAGTACTTTAATTTTGGGAAACTGAGTTTGAATAAGTTTTTGCTTTAGGAGACCAACACAATTTGGCGCCGAGAAAATATCTTCAGTGATGTTTTAATCTTCAGATTTTTTTTTTTATTAAGCCCCATAAATTTATTTGAAAAGAAAATTATTTCAATAATTAAATAATTATGTATTCAGAAATTCAAGAATTCCTTAAAAACATTTACGAGCCACCAGCACCTCAATTAAATAAAGAAGATAGAGAACTCACCAAGTGAGCTAGCCCTCAACCTCGAGCTGTTCGAAGTAGAAACGGTTCTCTATCTTTTTCTCTCTAGCCTTCTCCTTTGAATGGAAAATATTTTTTTTTTAATGATAAAAGCGGTAGGTTAAGCCAAAACATATTACATTCAAAACATAATATTGTGCTACCAAAGGACATCTAATCAAAACACAGATCAAACATGCAGATTATCGAAACTAAAAACACTACAATTTCAATTGAATTTGGTATCTACACCAAAATAAATTGTTAAAAGGACAAGACATCCAACCAAAGTGAACTAAAAGCAAGACTATTGCATAATATATATAACAAAAAATTAATTAAACTTTTCAAAGAAAAAATTGGCTAACAAAGATTAATTGCGCTAATAATGACAATAAATTCTAATCAAAGAAACTAAAACTGAAACCTTCTTCATCAAACTCTTCCTTCTCCTCTACTTTCTTTTCCTCCTTTTTCACCTCCACGCGCATCAACTTGTGTACAGTGGCGGATCAAAAATTCTGAACAAGGGGTTCAATATATGTAAAGAAGTGAACAGTAAAAAAATTCGTAGAATGGGTTCATCAATTTTTTTTTTATATTTACATGTAATGTCAAACGGGTTCATCCAAAAAATTTGAATCTAGAAGAAAGTTAAACTATTTGTCGAAACATACCAAAAATATTATGTTGGATTAAAACTAATACGGTGGTTTGATTTGAAGTAATCAATTTTCCAAAAGAAAAAAAGTAATATTATGCTATTAAAAAAAGGGCATTCTAAGGAAGAAAAGGCAAAACATATAATGTATAATAAATAATAAGCAAAAAATGAAGACAATAGGAGTCTTATTTGACTCACTTTCTTCGTCATTAAAAACTAAATTTAATTCTGTATATACCGTGTAATTTTTCGATGACGATCACTTCCGTCCTCTAGATTCGCCCCCGCTCGTGTAGCAGCAATATTAATTGCATCGACATGACTAGCACCATCAACACCATCAACACCAGCAAAGGCCCAACCCAACTTTCCTCCTCCAACAGCAAGTAACTTAGTAACATTTTTGCCTTTGACTTAAGACAATAATAGTTGAATTTTCACCTTATCAATCTCAGCACCTACAATTTATTTTCTTTAAAATATGAGCTGAAGGGATAGAGCGGCAATTACTTTCATCTCTTAATTTACGATCTTGAAAAATCGGAGATTAATGCCTTGTTTTGTTCTAAAGAATGAGAGTATGATATTTTTATTACGAGGAATATGCCAATTTTAAGGGTATTTAATTGGGACTAAGGCCGTTGTTTAGTTGGATTATGATACATAATTCATACTAGTACTAATAGGATTGGAAAAGAATTCTTGTTAATTACATGCATATTTGGAAATATAACAAATTCGACTTTGACAAGGATAAGGAGAGAGGATCAAATTAGAACTAATAAGTTTTTCTCAAGCATGCCAGACAGTTTTTTTCCTAGTAAGTTCATTTTTCTTTCCAACTTTATTTTGTATTTTATTGTTTTTATATTGCTGTTGAACTAATAAGGGAATCACATTATGAAGTCTTTTTATGATACATAGTTTTGTTCGCTATTCATGGTAATAATCTGAGATCTCGTGGGATTATAGGCCACATATAACTAAGAGAACCTTAACACCGTACACCACTAGTACCTTTCCTTTTTTTTTTTTTTTTTGATAAAGATCAGTTCAGTAAATTGTAAATCTGAAAACGATAAGTAATTTCTTTTCATTTGTCAAAACCTTGCATGTCAGAGTTACTCGATTTTAAGATAGTAGATACTCGTTGCAATAGTTAATGAGCAATTTATGCAAATTATCCATTGAGCTTAAAATAATTACCCTTTCCTACCCATTTGAAAATTATTTACAATATATACTTAGCCAATTAAAACTAATTACCCCTATCTACCCACCGATTACCCATTTGGCTTAGCTTAGCTTGATTTGGCTTGGCTTGACTCAGTTTGCTTGGCTTGAATTGGCTTTGCTTGGCTTGGTTTAGTAGCTTTGCTTGGCTTGAATTAGCTTTGCTTGGCTTGGCTTAATAGCTTCGCTTGAATTGGCTTTGCTTGGCTCGGTTTAGTAGCTTAGTTTGACTTCATTTGATTGGCTTTGACTAGGTATTAAAAAAATGGGTAGAGGGCAAACCACCATGGGCAGGGGCGAGTAAATAGTTTCCCCTGCGAGGATATTTGCCAAAGATTGCCATAGTTAACGTGCACACAAGCTTGGCCCAAAAATAGCAAGTAATTTAGTAGGCGTTGGGATATAAAAATTACTATAATTTTTGAAAAAAATATATTTGGAGTTAAGTTGAAAAATAGTATTTAAAATTTGAAATTATGTTTGGACATGCATTTCACTTCAAACAATATTACAGCCTTCGTGAGTGGGGAAAAAAATTCCGAAAATTTTGAAAAGTTGATCAAAACCACTTTTTGATTTTTGAAAAACTCTTATTCGAAATTTTTTAAAAAACTAACAAAATTTCGTGGACAAACACATTCCTGATCCGTACAACACCATTATTGTAGAAAATAAAAAATACAACTAGTACATGTGTTTCACCTGTAATAAGTCTTCTCTATATATCCTGCAATAATGATGACTCCAATACTCTTTCAACTGTGGACTCCCCTTATCTAACAAAAAATCTACTCCTATTGTTATCAAGAAAACTAGTGGAGGAAAATGCAGTTGCTTTCTTCTTAAATCTTAATAGCATTATAGCCTCAACCACACCTCATCTCAGTACTTCACCAAACTTCTCCATCAAAAGAAACTATCTACATTTAGTTAGATAAAATGGAGACAGAACCAACATGGCATGAACTGTTAGGAAGCAACAACTGGGAAGGTCTTCTTGAACCATTAAATCTCAATCTACGACAGCTAATTCTCCGTTGCGGCGACTTCTGTCAAGCCACTTATGATGCTTTCAACAATGACCAAAATTCCAAGTATTGTGGCACCAGCCGTTATGGCAAGAATACATTCTTCCAAAAAGTTATGTTAGAATCTGCTTCCAATTACAAAATCTCCGGCTTCCTCTATGCCACTGCCCGTATTGGCGCCCTCAAAGCCATTTTCCTCCACTCTCTGTCTCGCGAAGCTTGGGACAGAGAATCCAATTGGATTGGTTATATAGCTGTTACAACTGATGAAGTCAGCCAAGAACTAGGCCGTAGGGAAATTTATGTTGTTTTTCGTGGCACAACAAGGAATTACGAATGGATCAATGTCTTAGGTGCCCGGCCTGAATCTGCTGACTCTTTGCTTCGTCCCAAGTCTCTGCAAAAAATTGGAGTAAATGGTGATAACAGCAAAAGCAGCAATGGTGATGATGGGGTAAATGGTGATAACAGCAAAAGTAGCAAAGATGATGATGAGAACGAGCCCAAAGTCGAGGATGGCTGGTTCAAGATTTTCGCTTCCAGTCTCTGCAAACCTTTGCTTCGTCCCAAGTCCCAGCAAAAAAGTGGAGTAAACGGCGATAACAGCAAAAGCAGCAGTGATGATGACGAGAACGAGCCGAAAGTAATGGATGGCTGGCTCAAGATTTACCTTTCCAGCAACCCAAATTCGCCCTTCATGAAACTAAGTGCAAGAGAACAGCTGCAGGCAAAAATTGAAGAATTAAGGCAGCAGTATAAAGATGAGAATCTTAGCATAACATTTACAGGCCATAGTCTTGGTGCTAGTTTAGCTACTTTAGCAGCATTTGATGTGGTTGAAAATGGGGTTACCGATATTCCAGTATCCGCTATTGTCTTTGGGAGTCCTCAAGTTGGGAACAAGGCTTTTAACGAAAAGGTCAAGGAATATTCAAATTTGAAAATCTTACATGTTAAGAACAAGATTGATCTCATTCCCCTTTATCCAAGTGCTCTATTGGGGTATGCGGATACAGGTACAGAACTAATCATCGATAGCAGAAAATCTCCAAGCTTAAAGGACTCAAGAGATACGGGCGACTGGCACAATTTGCAGGGTATGTTACATGTTGTGGCTGGTTGGAATGGGGAAGATAAAGAGTTTGAATTACAATTGAAGAGGAGTGTAGCTTTGGTTAATAAGTCATCATCTTTCTTGAAAGATGAGTACTTGATTCCAGGGTCATGGTGGGTTGAGAAGAACAGGAGTATGGTTCTTGATGAAAATGGGGAGTGGATTTTGGCACCACCTTCAGATGAGGATCTTCCAGTCCCTGAGTATTGACTTGTTTTCAGAATTTTCAGAAATGAGTAGTTTGTTCAGTTTGCAATTTTCTACTTGATATTGTTAATCTTGCTTTGGACTTGTAAATGCTAATGCGTCCAATGTCTATCTTGCAAACGATGTGTATATTATCACCGACGTTCTATGGTACTAGTGTCAGATGAGGTCAGGGCGGATCCACTACTTCGGCACCAAGTTCATACAAATCCAGTATTTTCGACAAAAATTATATATTTTTATGTGAAAACTCCGGAAAACCTCACCAAAAATTAGATTTGAACTCATAATTTAAAAAGTACAATGAGTTCAGTACGAAGAAACTAGAAGATCGAACCCAGCAAATTAAGATCCTGGATCCGTCTCTAGGTGCAGCACTCAGCTTAACTTCTGCAATTCTAAGAACAACAACAACAACAACTACAACGACCCAGTAAAATCCCACTAAGTGGGGTTTGGGGAGGGTAGTGTGTACGCAGACCTTACCCCTACCCCGATAGGGCAGAAAAACTGTTTCCGATAGACCCTCGGCATGCAATTGTAAGAACTTAACCAAAAAAAAAAAAAGGAAAATTATATAATATAGCCGCCCCCAAAAATAATAGTCGGCAAAATGTATATTTTTTGGTATATTAATGCATAGTATACATATTTTTTATATATCTGGTAGATGTAATTATTTTTGGCCGACCGCTCAAATGTGTAACTTGCCCTAAAAAATTACCTAAAGAATCACGGCCCATGCCAATTAATCCTCTCTGGTAGACTTGTACATGGGAAGAAGAAACAAGACTAAAGATAAAGAAGGACTTCTCAATTGCTCTTCAGTTGTCCTCTAAATTAAATAAAATAGTTGAGGATGAGCCATGGTGTATGTTATTTGCTGATGACATAGTTCTAATTGATGAGACGAGGGCCGGTGTTAACGAGAGATTGGAGGTTTGGAGACAGACCCTCGAGTCTAAGGGTTTCAAGTTGAGCAGGTCTAAGACAGAGTACCTGGAGTGCAAGTTTAGCGCTGAGTCGAGGGAAGTAGGCAGGGACGTGAGTCTTGGGTCACAGGTCATCCCGAAGAAAGATAGCTTCAAGTACCTTGGGTCGATGATTCAGGGGGACGGAGAGATCGACGAGGACATCACTCACCGTATAGGGGCGGGCTGGATGAAATGGAGGCTTGCATCTGGAGTTCTGTGTGACAAGAAAGTGCCACCGCCACTCAAAGGTAAGTTCTATAGAGCTGTGGTTAGACCGGTCATGTTGTATGGAGCAGAGTGTTGGCCGGTTAAGAACTCCCATATCCAGAGGATGAAGGTAGCAGAAATGAGGATGCTGAGGTGGATGTGCGGGCACACTAGGATAGACAAGATTAGGAATGAAGATATTCGGAAGAAGGTGGGTGTGACCCCTGTGGATGACAAGATGCGGGAAGCAAGGCTCAGATGGTTCGGGCACGTGCAGAGGAGAAGCCTTGATGTGCCGGTAAGGAGGTGTGAGCGGTTGGCAGTAGTGGGTACGAGAAGAGGTAGAGGGAGGCCTAAAAGGTATTGGGGGAGGTGATTAGGCAGGACATGGTACGTCTGCGGATTTCCGAGTACATGGCCCTTGATAGGAAGGTCTGGAGGTCCAGCATTAGGGTTGTAGGTTAGGGGGTAGTAGCACTTTCCTTACTTCGTTCCGGGGGCGAGGCGGGGTTGGATTAGGGTTGATCTTAGATAGCTTGCAGTTTAGGCTGAATACACTCTGTACTTGCTGTTTATCTTAGCCCTGGGCCTTAGATACTGGTTACTGTTATTGCATGTCTTTCATCTTTTGGTTGTTATGCTTCCATTACTATTACGGTTGCTACTGGAGTTACTAATGAGTTGTCTTTTCTTGTTTTCTTTTTTATTTTCATTTTTCTGAGCCGAGGGTCTATCGGAAACAGCCTCTCTGCCCTATCGGGTAGGGGTAAGGTCTGCGTACACATTACCCTCCCCAGACCCCACCTGGTGGGATTTTACTGGGTAGTTGTTGTTGTTGTTGTTGTAGTTGAGGATGAGTTACCTAATAAGAATGATTCTACAACTAGAAAACCTTCATGGCCTCCTTCCCCTGTTCTTAATATCTTTTGTAGCAAGAAAAGAATATCTGCGAAACATTACAGAGACAATCCATATCATTTTCTGTTTATATCTTCTCCAAATTCTTCTCATATTAATTCGAGCTTATAACCTAGATATCTAAAAATGCTGAACAAATGATGAGGGTGAAGTAACCTAGGACATGAAAACAATACAAAAGAACTTTAAGTAAAAACAAAAATAGAAGAAGAAAAAGAGAACAATCACTCAAATCTTGAAAGAATATTGATGCTGCTAAGCCTTCGACCAAACAAATTAAAAGAAGTTCTTCATCTCTGGGCCTGTGGCAATTGATTTCAGAACCATTTAGAAGCTCTGCAAAGCCATGCCTCAATGTTATTTACTTAGAAGTCTGATCCTTGTTTTTCTTGGCAACTAAGAGGATTATGTGCATACATCGGATAAAGTTAGTGACATGATCTCAATGCCTTGTGAATAAGCACTCCACTGTCAAAAAATGTAATTTTGGGCTTTCAAGAATAGTGACAGATGCACTTGGGAGAGATTCTACATCAGTTGGCACTTCTGTATGGATGGCTGCAGAACTGATTCCTAATGAACCTTTCTCGTAAAAATGTGACCTTTTTAGCTGGAGCTCTGCAGCCTAGAGATAGACCATGGGAAGGTGTGTGTACAAGCAGAGTGGGTATGCTAATTTGACATCGCTATTTCGCTAATGGGCTAATCGCTTTCTCTTATTGCTTTAGGAAAATTAACATTTTATTTCAAATGGTTATGTCAAAGCAAGTTCTTTCCTCTCATTTAGGTAGTTTATACTGTTTTCGACGAGAGATCAAGATTAGAGATACCTGAAGGACATCTGGTAGACTAATTGCAGGTAATTCCAGTCAATTGTAGATGTTGATACCAGAGGCCTGTGAGACTATTCCTTTATTTTTCTCCTGGTGTTACCCATATTTTTCTGTAAGCAGACTGCTGGACAGAGCTGAATGAAAAGACCAACTTGGAGGAAGTTCTCACACGACTTTAGAGTGAATACTCGCTCTACTGGTCTGCAATCTCTTTTCCTTTTATAGAAACACATGTAGAGGTTTTAAAGATGTCTGGCTCAAGTTGTAAATGTTGGGTGATTTTCCAGATTTAGAAACAAAATATTAATACATTCATCCTTCCGCACAATCAAAAGTAGTGTTCATACACCTATTTCTGCTCTCAGCAATGAAATTTCACTCCCAAAATTGACCATCTTCTTTGTTCAAGATGCGTAAATTAACTGGTACATTAATCTGGATATTTAATATGACAACATGACTATCCCAGGAATGTACTCTATGACTATTGGGTACCGGAAAGTTGCATAACAGTATCTGTTCCGTGCATCTATCAGGAATAAAACCGAGGACAATTAGATATTGGAAAATTGTACAATATTATCAGTTTTTTGCATCAATCACAAATCTGGCGTCTGTTTAGGGCTGCCTCAAATCGGCTCAAGGAGCCTGCTCTCATTTCTGTACTCATGTCATTCTCTGGCGCCGGATAGTAATCTTCTCTCAGCTGTACATCTCGTAGGTTTGGGATTCTAAGTAGGAACATCATGAAATGTTCATGCGCTGTTCCATGGATGAACAGCTTTCTGAGTGTAAGGCATTCTTGGAGCAGCCCAGCTGCCGGCAGTGATAGACTCCTTTGGTTAACATCCCTATCTTGTGGTGGCCAGTAATCAAGCTCCCTGAGATTCAAATGTCCAATCCCAAAGAGATAAAACCGTTCCCACAAGCTCAAATCCATCTGGCCCGATGGGGCAGTGTGTGCGTAACCTATGATATCTCCACAATCCAAATGCATCTTCACAAGCTTAGGGAACCGTATAAGGGTGCTCAACCCAAACGCCCTCTCTGAAGGTTTTGACCATAGCCTACAATCTCCTTCTACCTTAATCTTAATCTCTTCCAAATTAGGACAATCTTGAAGACCTGCAGCTGATAAAGGAGTCAAAAGCTCACCAACACCAATCCAAAGTGAGAGATATTGCAGCCGGTCCCATATTCGTTCGCCATATCCATTGCCATGGCCATTCTCTTCCACGTAAACACTATTAAGATCATAGGAGTACTTGCATCTTTTATTCCTGTTAAACATGAAATCGTCATCAACTGATCCAGATGCGTCCCCGAATCCAGCAGGATGGCTTGATGCCTCACCGCCATTGGCCTTATTGAGATCAAACCCGTATTCAACACAACCATCAAGATTTTCAATTTCTTCAACACTATCCCACACACAATCAATATGAAGCCTCTCGATACGTTCTTGTATCGGTTCCAATGCTTTCAACGAAGAAGACGCTCCAAGATTCTTGCAACAAGATATACTGACATCAACCAAACTTTTCCGGAGCAAAGAAGCTAGCGTTCTCATTCCTCTCATCGTGATCTTCTTACAATTTCGAATCTCAAACTTGGCCAATCTTGTACACCCTCTACCAATTGCAATCAAACCCATATCATCCAAATCACCCACATTCCTAATCGACAAAGATTGTAATTCCTGACAAAGCGCAACACCATCCAACTTTGACTCAATTGGCATAGAAATGCCATGAAATTGCCCCAACTTCAACAATTTCAACTTGGGACATTTCTTGTTCAGCACTTCCAAAGCAGGACCACTATCTCTAACATTATTAGAAACATCTAATACAAGCTCTTCAAGTAAAGGAAGACCCGAAAATACCTCAATCAAAGTTGAAACACTAATCTTCCCATCGTCGATACTAAACCCCTCTTCATCTAGATCACTCTCACTCCTGCAATTAGACAAAACAGACGTATCCACTAAATGAAGCACAGACAATTTGGGACAATTTTCAGCTACACATACCAAAGCCTCATCACCAACAAAACCAATGTACCTTGGATCAAACATACAGACAACCTTAAACTCTTTCAAATAAGGACAGCATTTAGTGATGACTCTAATCTCGTCCGTCTTAAAACCTTCCGAAAATGAAGCGTTTAAGAGATTTAATACAGTCATGTTACTCGCAACAACAGGATTCGATTCAAGGGCTGGTGGTAAATCCTCAGTCCAACAATAAAAAGTAGATAAGTCAAGCGAGGCCAGTTGCGAGCACCCCTGAAATAGTAAGTTGAACTCATCCCCACTAGCTAATTGCGGACGCTGGTGCCATCGGACAAGCTTGATATGCTTAAGCTGGGGCCACTGGATGGGCAAGAGCTGGAGCGCGTGTGGGTCACGCGCGTATACAGTGAGAGAACTGACTGAAGGAAATGCGTGGCGCAGAAGGCGTGCGATGAGGGTTGAATCGTCGTTATCTGCGGCGGCGCGTGGAGAGAGGAGGGAATGGCCCCAAGGAGAGAGGAGCGAGAGGTCGAGATGAGTAACGGATCGGAAGCAAGTGGGGAGCATGAAAAGGTCGTTCGTGTTGCCTCGGAGCGTGAGAGAAGTGCGGGTGGAACGTTCTAGGACGAGCCATTTATGGCAGACGAGCGCGGCGACGTTCCGGCTGCGGACGTCGGAGACGGCGGCGATTATGTTGGAAAGTATTACGTCGGGAAGGTCATTAAGAGTAGTGGGTCTAACTGAAGTTGCCATTGAAAAAAGCTTGTTGAAGAGTGAGAAATGGAGGATTATGGGTTTTTTGAAAATCAAAAAACTGATGGGTGAGTGGTGCTAAATTGGGCGGGGGGGGGGGGGGGAAGGTGTGGGATAGAGCAGGGTACTGGGTTGCAGGGAGTGGGACGATGAGAAGGACCCATGTGAGTGTCACGTGTGATTCATACCCGTTGGTCGTTGGGCGTTAAAACAAGTTAACACTCGTGATAGATGACTTTTAACTTCCCACGGTAATTTATAGATGAAAATTAAGTGGGCGTTTGGACATAACAATCGTAAAATTCCAAAAAAAGCGAAAAAAAAGTGAAAATAATATTTGAAAATTAAAATTTTGTTCGAAAATGAATCTAATTTTGGGTTGTGTTCGAATTTTTGTGAGTGATTTGAGTGAAAATTTTGAAAAATAATTTTTTGGAGTTTTAAATTCTAAAAAATTTCAAAATTAATATTCAAGTAAAAATTGAAAATTTTAAGGCCAAATATTGATTTTGAAAAAAGTAAAAATAATTCTTATGTCCAAACGGGCTTAAGACTTTCGCGAATGTACAGTAGTTGTGAATTCGACGCTCACTATCATTTTCTGAAAAAGATTGTCAGTTTTTAATTTGAATGAAGCTCGGTTAAACAAACGTCTACAATATCGAGTTAAATACATCTAAAATTATTTTTTATCATTAACTATAAATATGCAAAAATTATACAAAAGTGATACTACATATATATCATCTTAATTTATAAAGTAAAATCTACTTTACCTCATTAACATTTAAGGATTGTGAAATAATCCCCCTTCACCTTTTGAATGGAAATAATAACTCCGTTGACTCAAAAATTTCACCAAAAAATAACGATTAAAGGGATCGGGTTCATGGGTCGGATTGTCCTATATTGGCTTAAAAAGTTGGATTTTTATGTTTATTTTTTTTGGCTTTCAAATATTGTGTGCCATAATTGTTACTGTAAATATAATACTTGTCAGCTAAAACTATATTTGGTGTGACATAGCATAGTAAAGTGATATTTCTGTTACAAAATAAGAAAAAGTGACTTTGTTACACCATTTCCAACATTTGAGTGACCTCTCTGTCAAAAAATAAAGTAAAGCGACTGTCACGGAATTTTCATTAGTTGAGTGACTTTTTGTTCTAAGATTTAAAAAAAAATGATTTTTTTACACTATTTTTAATAGTTGATCACAGTGCGAAGCTAGGAATTTTCTCAAGCAGGGACGGATTTACATGGATCCAAGCGGTGTCACGGGACACTGCTTCGTCAAATTTTTTTACTATATATATATATATATGTATATAATAAGTAAAACAGAAATACAAGATAAAATCATAAAAGTGACACGACCTTCATTGAAACAACTCAATAGTCTAGCGGTTGATAACTTCAAGTTTGATGTGAGAGGTCTTGGGTTTGAACTCCCTGAGCTCCCTAAAATATTTTTTGAATATTATCGGGTGTTCAAAGTTGAAATAAGTAAAAAAAAAAAAATCCGACAAAGAGTGTTCAGTATATGTTATGTACCTCTAAAACCTAATATTTTACCTATATCCGCAGTGTAATTTTTCCACAAAGGGTGATCAGTTGACCACCCTAACCAAAGTGTGGCTTCGCCCCTGGTTGATTGGAAACAGCATCTCTTCCTTCATAAGGTAGGGGTACGGTCTGTGTACACACTATCCTTTCCAAATCTTACGTATTGAGTTTGTTGTTGTTATTATTTTCAATAGTTGAGTGACTCTTTAAGTAACGAGTTCGTCATTTTACAGTTCTTCACTTTGAACTGTTGGAGTAACCGAGTAACGATTATTCTTTTAACGACAATGAATTTACATGTATTTATTCTTTTTACGGTGAAAATTTGATAGTTGATGTTTATGAGACTTGATACAAAAGAGAGTACTTGTATTTTTCTACAAGGTGATACGCGTATTAGGAACTTTAAGATGGTAGTTAATTTGTAATACTACTTGTATTTTATCATTTCTTTTATGTTAGATAGACCCTTACATATCTAAATTGCTATTGTCTTGATACTAACTACTAAGTCACACAAAATAGTACTCGGTAAGTTTCAAATTAGATGAGGTATTTTTTTTTAATCTGTTCCAAAATAAATGATATATTTCTAAATTTGAAAATAATTTAACTTTAAATGCTTTATTTTACCCATTTTATTCTTAATGAGAAGTTTTTATAACCATCCAAATATCATGGCCCCATAAAGCTTTTATCCCTTAAGCTTTTAAGACCACAAGTTTCAAAAGCTTCCTTTATTTCTTTAAATTTCGTGCCGAATCAAACTATGTCATCTAAATTGAAACGGAGGGAGTAATACCTATAATTACAAAAATTGTAGCAGTATTTAAAATGTGAGGGGGGAAATGAAAGCGTGTCATGAATAGATTTTGAGATAGTGGAACTACGAAGGCCATTCGCCGCGGACGGTCGATGGCCTTTTAATGTAATGATCCACCTGGCATCTCCATATCCACACATGCATCAAGGGTGAAAATGAGGTCAAGGAGGAATTTTAAGTAATTTTTTTTGATTACTTATTGAATGTTTGATTTATACTCTAATTCGGATATATGCCGTGTAAGATTCATTAGAGAGGGAAATCTTTTCTATTAAAATTTTTTCACACCCAAAACTCGAACTCATCCAATCAAGGTGGAAAGTGTTGGAAATATCATGAAGATACACAAAAAGTTTGAGGTACGTCAAAGACACTGTTCTTAAGGATATTTTTTACCGATAAGGTATATCCGCAGGATTCGAAAGTGTCACGACCCAAAATCCACTAAGGGTCGTGATGGCGCCGGACACCATTGTCAGGCAAGCCAACACTAAATAACCAATAACTTCCCTTTTGAGATATTTCCGAATTCATTCCTTTTATACATTTAAACAATAAAGAATAAATTTCACTGAATAAATAATAATATCTTTTAACAATATCAAAATACTGACTAATCCCATAGATATCCCATAACCCGGTGTCACAAGTGCACGGGCAATTACTAAGAGAATCGAATAAAGTACAATCACTGTCCGGAATACAAATTGGACAGAAGTAAATACAATACGCTGAAAGAGACTATACTGGCTGCGGATCGCCTCGAGATATGCAGTTCACCTAGTCTCCGTATCATCCATGCTGCTACGCCCAGTAGGCCACTAGAAATACCTGTACCTGTGCAACAAAATGCACAGCAAGTGTAGCATGAGTACGAAAACAACGTGTACTCAGTAAGTATCCCGTCTAATCTCGAAGAAGTAGAGACGAGAGGTCGACTTCGACACTTACTAGTGGTCCAATAATGATACACCAATAATATAATAAATTGAGGATTTTTATAAGAATGGATGTAACTCAGTAGAATGAAGCAAGTAAACAATTCTTTCTTTTATAGGAAATTCTCAAATTCCTTTACATCATTTATACATTTATTCTCAAGCCGGGAAGAAACAATATCAACTTCAATAAATTTCAGGGCAAGCATTACAAGCATGCGCAAATCATGCCGAGGTGGTACGGTCCAATCCAACAATATTTAAACTATGCACTGCCAGAGGGTCGAATGACGCGAACCATAGATGCATCTATTATCCCGCTCGCGAATCATACATGCGACGCGGTCAAATATAAATAAACAATCACCCTGCTCGCGAATCATACATGCGACGCAGGTACACATAGAATTACATATTCAAATAGTCAACCATGACATTCATCAAGGAAATAATTATTCAAGGAGGTGTAAGTTCCCCCTTTTACAAGTCAAGAAAATGAAGTTTAACTCTTTTAGAAAATCGTTTGCCACTTCGATATGATTTAAGCATTTTTTTAAATTTGTCAACAAGGTTGCATTCATTACAAGTAAGCATGCTTTTGGGTCCTAAACTACCCGGACATAAGCATAATAGTAGCTACGCACTGACTCTCGTCACCTCGTGCGTACGTAGCCCCCACAAATAGAATCACATAACAATTTAACTCACCTATTGGGACAATTCCCTCTTACAAGGTTAGAAAGGAGACTCACCTCGCTTCGAAGCCTATATCCCAATTCAAGAACGCGCTCAAACCTCCAAATTGGAGCCGAACGATCCAAAACTATTCAAATGGGGTAAGAACTAGTCAATACATGCTAAAAAATTCATATTCTAATTGTTAAACCAATTTCCCAACCCTAAATACAAGGTTCCTAAAATTCATCCTCGGGCCCACGTGCCCGGATTCCGAAATTATTTTGAAGAAAGTTGTTACCCATAACTAAGGATCAAGAATATATGATTTTTACTCCATTCCCTAACCAATTTCGTGGTTAAATCATGTTTTTATCAAACTCTAGGTTTTTCATCTAAAACCTTTGAGTTTTCCTATTTTTCACATGTTAATCTACCCATAATCTATGTATTTAACTCATGTTGTGTAGAAATTACTTACCTTAAAGTGCTAGGTTGAAAACCCTCTTCCAAAAGCTCCAAAATCGCCCCAGAGATGAAAGGAAATGAGCTAAATGGTCTAAGTCTCGAAATTAATAGCTGTGCATAGGCCTCAGATGTCGCATTTGTGACATCTGGTTCGCAATTGCGACGGTCGCAAATGCGACAAAACCATCGCAATTGCGAAGATGGACCTCCCTTTCCAAGGTCGCAAATGCGAACCCTGAGCTCCTACTGCCTAGGTCGCAAATGCGACCAAGAGCTCGCAAATGCGAACCCTGCTGAGTTCGCAAATGCGACCTAATTATCGCAAATGCGAACTCTGCCTCAGGCCAAGCTCCTTCGCAAATGCAGGGTTCGCAAATGCGAACTATTTCTCGCATTTGCGAGACCTGCAACTGCTGCCAAAAACACCAGAAAATCTGGTGTGTTCCAACTCCTCCCGCACGTCCGAAACTCACCCGAGGCCCCCGGGACCCCGTCCAATCACACCACTCAGTCTCATAACATAACACGGACCTGCTCGAAGTCTCAAATCACGTCAAATAATGCTAAAACCATAAATCGCACTCCGATTC